GATAAGAGTAGGTTCAATTATTTATTTGGCGTTGCTATGGCAACTGCCATACAAATTAAACTTTCAATCATTAATGGTAATAGCGAGGAGGTGGATTACCAGACACTGTTGTTCAATTCCCGAGTAATCAGTTTATTCATGGAATATTTTAGAAGCGACATTCAGAACTTTTTGAAAGGGATTATGTATTTTTGAGGTGTTGGCAGGTGGTGGAGATCTTGAGGGATTTGCTAGGTGTGAAGTTGATCATAAGCAATTCATAGTTTCATAATTGTTTTAAAGGGGCACTAGGTCCTGAAATCCCCGAAAATGTTATGTTTTGGATTGTTTACTTAGCCTATTTCATTTTATACACAATTCCGAGCTCTTATCACTGTACATTCATGGTGTCTTTACTTGTGTTTGATAAGATATTTTTTTGTCAATTTAAGAAAAAAAAATTAAAAGGCCACTAATTGCCAAATAACATTTCTTGTGCAAGCAATGGCCAAATTTCCATGGCAACCATTCCCTGTAAAAATCTTCCAGTTTCTCCGCTTAATGCATCCTTGAAGCTCACGTGTACGTACACCAGTGTGAAATACTGTAGTTGCGTATTGTCCATATCTACATAGCCATCATTTGTCTGCAGACTTGCACCACCAAGATTCCACGTTAAATGACACTGTACATGTTACCAGGGGCGTCACTAGAATGGGGTGTGAGGGGGGGGGGGTGCACAAAGTTGTCATCTTGCAAAATCAGGTGTACAATTTGATATACGTATGCTGCAACAAATAGTGCCACCCAGTTTTCAACAGTGTCGAATATCAGATGCTTTGAACAGTGCAGTGCCCCATTAGTAAGATGATGTCCAGCTTCCCCCCCCCCTCTAGCACGTAGTGGCTGTTGGCAGCTTGTTGTCACCCCCCCCCCACCCCCAACCCCACCCCCACTTAAATTGGTCTAGCGACAGCAATGTTTATTACAACGTTCAGAGTGTGGCAGCAATGAGTTCTAAATTTGGTCAGTAACCTTCTAGAAACTTCGTTTTTATGACGAGGCACTCATGTCGTACATGTAGCCCCACAAATACACTTGTATTACACCTGTAGAGAGGACCCAAGGATCGATCAAAAACACATTATGTGGAACTCGCGGTAAACGAACATTGATTTTTTTTGTTATCTCCACCTTCCGCCATCTCACAGCTTGATAAATATTACATGTCGGGAGGAAAACATGACACTTGTTTCTGTAATCAGGTTTTTAAATATGTAAAACCTTCTGGTTGTCATGGAAACGCCGAAGTAAAGAGTGAAAATTTTGCTTTGAAACTCTTGTCGTGTTAATTCAGAAAGTGCTTGATGGAAAGTTGGTATGGCTTGGGGCAAGTAAGTTACACTGATACTTTGAAGAGTTTGCAACCCAGCGATATATATCTGATTTTTTTTGCCAAATATAAAAAAAACCAATAAAAAATTGTTAGATTCCTTATTCCAAAAGTGTTTCTCAGAAATCATTTTGTATATATCTAAGAACAAATCCTTTTGGAAATTTCTCCATTCTGAAAATGTCTAGCTTGGAGGAAAAACCCTTTATCAGTAACCATATAATCTCTGTTTTATTAGTCAGGAACTTCGTCAAAAATAAGCTTTTTTCCCAAAAGAAATATCAGTTTCCCTTTTTTGGGGGGCAATTTTCCCTTTACGTTCACTGACATGAACGTGTAGATTCTTGAACAGGCCCTCTGAAATTGAAAGGCTATGTTCAATACTCGAGCGGGAGTTCTAGAATATTGCAGTAATGACAATTGATCCAATTCACGGAAGATTCCGAGGGTCGGTATTTGCCCGGGTTCTGCTCCTTCCTGCTTCCGCCAAACATGCGCTGAAATTCCTTTCAAGCGACACTGTATTGAATTTGCAGGGAAATTGTTCGATTATCATTAATGGAGGAGAGTTTTTGTGTCTCACTTATATGTGCTACACATTTCCTTGCAACAAAAGCCTGCACTTTCATTTGTCCATGAACACAAATCGCTATGCTGCGTTTTGTGGAAAAGGAAGTATATTATTAGGTTTGGAGGGAATGTTGAAGGGAATCTTCTTTTTTCAAGGTTACGCTTCTCAGTGATGGTCTTGTAGTATTGAAATGAGCTCATAATTATTCAAAGAGTGTGGTAGTTTTCCTTAAATTATCAAATTAACAACCTCTATATGTAATTAGTCCTAATCTGCATATGAGTAATGTTATATGTAAAACCAAATATGAAAAAAGGGATTAAAGAAGACAGAAATAATTTGTGAAGTACACATGTAGGAACTGAGAGTGCATACATGTACATTCATATTGTGTAGCGTATTGTGTGTCAAAATTGTCTATTTATTTTTTTCAAACCACAAAGGAAAACTGGCATATAGGGGTTTATGGCTTCTGACTAGACAAAGACATTGACAAAATGGGGAACCGCCAACATAGGGCTGGGTAGCTCAGTTGGTAGAGCACCGGAACGGCAATCCGCAGGTCGCAGGTTCAAACCCTGCTCCAGTCAATTTCTGTGTCCAACTTTAAAATTACGTGGTGACATAAATAGCAGACCCATATGCAGCATCATTAAGGTTAAAGAACTATTGCTGTGAAACCTCATTGGCCTATATTTTTACTAGTATGATTAACACTTCAATATTTCTGTCATCGTAAACTGGGTGTTGGACACGCATGGAAGGCTGATCAAACCACAGAGTTAGAAATTAACATGCTTCCCTTATCAAGTTCAACTCCCAGGTTTTACAGGAAGTGGCTTTTTACAATTTATTTCCTGGTTTACAGTGCTACAAGTTCATATATTCCGGGCTTAAGAACTTTGCTCTTTGTCGAAAAGTTAGTTTGAGTTGTAACATCTGGCAATGTTATTGAATATAATGTGAATAATTTAAATAATACAAAGACCAGTACAGTGAACTGGACACGAACATGCAACAAAACAAATATAAGTAGTAAACCCACAAGGAAATGAATTTTTCAAATTTTTAATTGCATTTCCCAAAAATTAGTCCAGCTGAATCTGTACAACTGTACGCACAGAGTGACCTACATGAAAATGGAGATTGTATTCAAAATAAATATGATCGGCGAAACCATTTGGTGCTCAAGCAGGCCAGCATTTCTATTTATTAATACATTGTAAGTTTTTCATAAATTATAATGTTCTCAACAGCCGTGCTATGTGCTACACCCACACACGTTATGTACTTAGCTACTGAATGATACTGATATTTATGATATTGTGGAGTGTTTTCAAAGCATGGACCGCCACCAAAAAGCCACAAGAATATAAGATGGAATTTACAAGTACATAGGGGAGATGTAAATTTTATATTGGGTTTTGCTCCTCACCGACGCATTTTTATAAATGCTGTATACTCGGCGTTGTTTGATGATCGAGAAATTTTCAAAAAAGGTCATGCATGTCGTGAACATTATGCACATCTGGATTATTTCACATTTGTGCAGTAGCGGTGCGCGTACTGATATATAAATAAAAAGCAGTGAGTGGCGCAGTGAGCGACTCTTGAACAGGTAACATGATCAGAGGTATTTGACGCCTGAATTAATCAATGAATCTTCTTGATTAAAACAGGTGGTAGATATGACCGTGAAGGAGTTTCGGAATACGTACATGTACATTGCTTTGTGTAGACGAATCCAGGCACGTGATCCCTGCACACTCACGAGGGCCCCTTTCAATGGAGGTAACATTGTGCATGCTATTGTACAAAGCAATGGCCCCGTGATGGATTATCTGAGCAATACATGTAGCTAGCACAATGCTTTCGCCATTGAAGGGGGCCTTCGTGATATAATTGCTAGCATGCCCGCATTGGTGTATGTATATTTTTTGTAGCGAACAAATGTTTTTGGGAGAGGGCAAAGTGCCCATTTGCGTAGCCAGGGTTTTGTTTGCCCGTTGCAAAATAGAATTTTGTCCCGTTCAACCTATTTTCACCGTCCCGATTTTGCTTCTATCACCAATTTTGTTTCTATCGCGATTTTGCTTTGAAAATCTCCATCCAATTGCAATCTGCCACTCTGCCCCCCCCCCCTACCCCTGGCTATGCCACTGAAGGTGCCCCTCCAAATTTTGCAGAATTTCTTGGGTGTCCTTCAAAATATTGCCATGCAGTAACCATGCACTGTGAGCCCCAGTGCATTGGAGGTTCTGTGTCCGTGCACTGATTCGCGTGCGTATGGCGCAAAGTACGCACTGCTGAGTTTTGTCATCTCAATGTGCACAAACCCGTAACGTCTTTGCATGGGTGCCTGAGCACATGGCCGCCTGAGCACATGGCCGCAATGACGTATCAGTGTCTACTTATCCCTGTCACTATTGAGGGAATGCCATTGCATGAAGGCCATGTGTACGTAGCGTAACGCCATTTTTAACTACATTACACATGGCTGCAATACACAGGCATGCAACTTTTTCCTCGTTTTTTTTAATTCACACTTAAACCATCAAAAGTGAAGAAGAAAAAAACACTATATAAAGTCTTGCAAAGCTTGGAATTTCCTCCTTTTTGAGTTACTTCCCAGTTGCATGGCCTGTGTACAGGAAATGCGTGTATTTTGCAGACCCTGATGTTTGTACAATGTGACGACCTGTACTCTTTATTTTGAGCAGAATTCTAGTTACACTGCACTTCCTAACTTCATACATGTCCTGTTCCATTATTGGCCCAGCACTGGAAGTGGTTCGAAGCAAAACCGACTATTTTTACAAGTATACTTAATTTTTGCAAGGATTGCTCAAGTTTCTGCTTGCCGTTGTTACATTTATCCTGAAGGAGTCATGTAGAAATATTAAATGCCAAAAATTGTATTATTCAGAGCATTTTTTTTCTGTGTTTTTTTTTTGCACACAGATGGGCATTCATTGACTGCCAGCGACATTAGCTGACCTGTGACATCATCTTGTCCCAACCTCATCACCCCCCCCCCCAGGTCACATTCCGCAAAGTTCAGCAAAGGTCACCAAACATTGCCTGGAAGAGGTCGTCGTAACCTTTGGAGGCTAGCGCACAATGCTGCCTCGAGTGCAGGCCCTTCCATAGTGTGGATGTAGACTCCGTATCAGGCTTCACTGTGGACTGATCTGCAAGAATGGTCATGGATGCTGGTATTATCAATGGGAGGATTACTAGTCTCCCGCCGCAGCCGTCCCGGGTGGTCAAAGTGGTCCTCTGCTGCACAAAATCAGGTGAGATTGATTTCTTCATGCTTTTGATCAATGTCATTTTCACTGGTAAACAAGACTAGGCTTACTTTGTCTATAAACTGGACATAAAATTTTCAGTTCAAGACTGTACTTATACTCGGTGACTCAGTCGGTCAGTCAGTCAGTGACTCAGTCTGTTAGAGGACAAAAAAAAAATATTGTTCTTCGAATAATTTAGTATTCGATTATTTGAAAATGCGTTTCACCAAATATTTGATTATTCGAAAGTCTCTGATCAAGTTGTACACACGCCAGCTGCTACTGCGTGCCGCGCCGGTAAAAAGTTGCACGCAAGGCGTGCCAGTTAAAATTCGTGTGCGTTGATCAATATTATGGCTGCTTGAGTGTTTTACAGTAAGTATATTTTATAAGAGTCAAGCTTTTGAGCCTCCTAAAAGGATGAGAACAAACCACCATCGAAAGAAAAATTAGCATCTGACAATAAAGCGCCGCAACTTTAGGATTATAAGAACATCAAAGTCGTGTGTGCACGTGCATATTTTTTTTTTTTTTTTTTTTTTTAACGTTCGAACGGGCAAAAAGCTATTGGAATATTCTTTTGATGATTGAATATTCGAATACTCGGGACAGCCCCACACTGGTCGTGGATGTACATGTACCATTTTGATTGAGCATACGAATCTGGTAAGCAATATGTTTGTTTTGACCAGTGACAGCATCTTAAGGGATTTGGCCTTTTCGAACGGAAAGGCAATCCAGCTTATTGCCTCGTCCGACGTTGACGTAACGCTCACAAGAGAATAAAAAAATAATAATCAAAAATAGAAAAATACTGCCTGCAGACAAATAAAGGATCCCATTTCGATTCAGTGTTCATTTCATGTGATGACACCCATAGTGACATATTCCGCTCTTTCTTTCTTCCTTTTAATAATCCACCGCAATGTCTCGCACGCTCTCCCTGTGCGCCCCACGATACCCCGTCCAAACAACAACCCAGAGATAGAATAAACTCCTTCATAACCTCTCCAAACATCCATATTTTCTCACCGGGAGGCATGTCTTCGTGGCTTTTCCCCTTCTACCTCAAAAAAAAAAGCCAAAGTACTCTCCCCGGGCATCTTGCCTACTCGTATAATTTTATCCGTCCGCTTTCGTCAACTCTGGTTACCTAAAAAGCACTCAAGAAAATTATCTTCTGTATATTTTGACAAATCAGGCAATGTCTTGTACTTTTTCTTTTCTTTTTGTGGGGCGGGAGCAGAGTTTGCACCAAAATTGCTTTTCTGCACAAGTACAGTCCTCAGTAGGGCATCACATTAAAAGGAATTGGCATCATTATCGTTGAGGTTTTCGGCCGAGGTTACCTTTTAGCGAGAAATTGAAATTGATTTCTGGAGCTCGATACACGTTCCTAGGAGCCAATCAGGTAGACAGGGACAAGACATATGCCGTACCTGAATGTATCAGCGCAACAAATTAGCCAGAATTGCATACAGAAATAGTCGGAGGAGAAAATTAACGCGACATAAATCCTGATTTATGGCTGATCATCTTCACTTGATCTGCGGGCGCTGGATGCGTTCGGTAGTTTTGGCAGTGTCAAAGTCCACAGATCAATGTCCGAATGTGGGAATAAAAATATTATAAAATATATAAATCTCTTATGTGATGTGTGGTTCAGAAAAGAACAAGTGGTGAAATGTTATTGACGTTTTGGAAAGGTTGTTCTGTTCATCAACAGGAGAATGCGTTTTCCTTAAAACAGCGGACAGACGCACCAAAATGTTTAGAGAGGAACGACTTCTACACAGAAGAGATTAATTCCATGGTGAACCCGAAATTGTGTACTCGTTGAAGATGCTGCAAACGCCACTCTTGTTACCATGGTTACTGCTAACATGCTTTAATTATTTCCATGGCAACTGGTACATATGTACATGTACATAAACACATACATAATGCATTCATGTCTCTTGAACCCTCCTGCTGTCTGAACAGTCACAGACAGTCAACAAATCAAGCCTCTTCCCTGCCATGCCTTTTACGCTGGCTTATCACCAACAGTCAGATTATATCTTAAGCAAGCACTGTGACAAGTCAAATTCAGTCAACTAGGCCATCAGCCTGGGGTTTGGTCAGTATCAAATCAGGGCATAAATGATTATAATGAGCATGCGCAAGAACAGCGCAAGGTATACCGCCCCTAGAGTGGTAACAAGCATTTTGATGGACATTTTGAAAAAAAGGGTGATAACACCCAAAAAGCTGCCACTGTTGCAATGCTATCACATATTTTCCAACTCCGAAGGTGTATACCTTGCCAAAAATCGCTATGACGATTATTCCCCTCAATTGATACTGGTGGCCAAAATTTTGGACCGAGGCTGATGGCCTAAACAGACAAAATCAGGCAAGTGGTAGGCACAACTGGCTTATCAATCACCTGCAGTCAAAGCATAGCTGTATCAAGTTACATAAACAGTCACAGCCAGTCAATTCTGCTTTATGTAGGCTGGGAGCTCTTAACTGTCAAAAGCAGTTACTTGATGGATTTTGACTGAAAGGACAGCTTTGCTCAGAATGCATGTTTGCATAGGAGGGTTAATGCCCAACGTGTACCTTCTTGCCCAGCTTGTAACTTGCTTCATGTACTGTATTTGTAATGTTTGAAGGAAAAAAAAGTTTAATTTTTGTTTGTTTCAAGTGCAGAGTAAATGGGACTTGTTGAAATAAAGCTTATCCTAGCAAAGAGTTATGTAAATAAAGCACTCCATGTCGGGAGTAAATTATCTTGAACCTTGTGTTTGTACTTGTACATGTACAGCACAGAGCTTACAACCACCTAAATTGAAAGTGCCCTTTCACCCAACCTTTCCGAGTGTGCGCCATCGATCGCCTCGATTGTCAAAACATCCCGTTACAATTAATTAAAATGGTTCACCACAGGTGATATCCAACATGTGTGGGGTGCACTTACATCGGTTAAAATGTCTTGACATAAAGATGTAGTTTTTTTTGTTTTTTTTCCCCCCATGAGAAGTAGGAATGTCATAGAATCCCCTTTCAATTTGTGTTCTATCTGGAGGCATCTGTATAGAAGCTGACTTAATCTAAGCTTTTTCCTTTGGAAAAGGATGTGTGGGTGTTGCTCAAGATGTTCCCCTCCCCCCTCCCACCCCACCCCCCAAAAAATTTACCACACACAGGAGCACAAAGCACTTGTCAGATTCATTAAGTTCAAAGATTGAGGTTGACGCAGAACCGTCATTACTCGCAGTGTGTTTGGAGATATCGGATATCAGAAAAAAATTAGGTCACCCCAAGGCAACTTATTTCACTTTCTTCCATCTTTCCTTCTATTAAGACCAGAGGAATCTGTTTATTAATATCATTTTATTCGTAGAAAGGATTCCTCAGTGTCTGGTTTCTGACAGTTTGTACGATGACAACATCGGCCATTTCTGGACTCTTTCTAGAGGGAACACTGTGAATTTTTCCCCCTGTGGAACAGGTTGTTTCCAAAAAAAAGATTGAGATGCTTACCGAGAAGTTTCGGTCACAACAACCTACTGAAGTCCAGGCTTTCATCTGCCTGTTTATATGCTCGTCGGAAAAAAGCTTCACTAAAAGGAAATATTCAGTATTCTGACCAATTTCATACCCAGTGGAAAATCATAGATTTTGTTTTTTATGTTGTTTTTTTCCTTGTGTCTCAAAAAAATGGTTGCTATTGTGATATTACTTTAATATACTTCCCATTTCCCAAATGCAGCAAATTACTTTTCTCAAACCAAAAAGACCTTGATCTTTTTCATGTTTTTGTTTGTTTGTTTGTTTGTTTGTTTTTCTCCCTACTTTCCCACCTAAATTGATTGATGGTTGAAATACAACCTACCATTTTACCAAAAGCAGCAATCCAAATTTCGCAAAATGCAGTCATGATGCCCGCTAACGTGTGTCCAAAGCAATATGTAGATGACATAAGAGGCAACGATGCGGGCATAATCACCCACGATGTAAACGAGCGCATCATGACTTGCCAATCCACCGTTGCCTAGCAACCGCGGGAGGATTTTTTCTTTTCTTCTCTCGACTGCATTGCTCTGACAATCCGCATCAAACGTCACGGCCCCTAACAAAACGTTTCTGCATGGAGGACCGGCGTATTTAATCTTTCATGTGACGTGAAGAAGAAGGCATTGTATATCTTCACGCACGATTGGTTGATGACGTAATTCCATTGGATTAGAAGAAACATGTTGATGTTGATGTAGTCTTAGTACAAACTCACTATAAAAAAAAAAATGTATTCTCGTTTTCAGTCACATGTGTGCAACACAATACATCAATGAATTCGTGAAATTTTCTCCATGTATACTTTGTTTTTGTTTTGTATTGCACTTCCATGAGATAAAGTTATGTAAGCAATTCTTTCTACTGCACAAATAAAGCTGGCATTTTGACAAATATGGTTTCATTTTACACATTGTAGAATCTGGTGACGCAATACAAAACAAAACTCTATGAGATTATATTACAGTCTTTGTACAGTTTTCGGTTTTTGGACATGGCTGTAGTCTTGTGCATCTGAACAATTTCTTTTTGAACACATTCAACTTTCACATCTTTATCTTTATTTCTATTGCCAACATTTGAACAGCATCATATCGTTATCATCCTCTTTGTTTTCATCATCATCATCATCATCAACATCGTTCAGGCATGCAACTGTTCCTCGGATCCGCTGATTTCCTCGTTTTTACTTCTCATGAATGCCATTACAAATTGAAAATACTGTACAAAGTCTTGTGTGGTTTGGAGTTTCCTCGTTTTTTTCTAAATTCCTAAGGACCAGGGCCCAGTTTCACGGCGCTGCTTAACAGTTAGCAGAAAAGTTGTGTTTAGCATAGCATTAGCAGAAAAATGTGCTAACCTTAAGCACTATTTCACGGCGTGTGTGTGCTAACGGTCACGCGTGCATGGAGATTTCTATTGTTACGTCACTAAGTTAAGCAAAT